TCTATCTATCTATCTATCTATCTATCTATCTATCTATCTATCTATCTATCTATTTATCTATCTAAACTCTCAATTCACACTCACAATAACCCTATAAGATAGATACTACAGGTGTTATCATTTCTATCTTACAGATAAAGGAACTGAGTTTCAGAGTGACTGCCCCAAGGTCACCAGAGTGGCTGGCTACTAAGTCTCACAGGTGGTATCTGAACCCAGATCTTCCTATCTCCACATTTGACAAGTTTCTGTCAGGATCACCATGCCAAGACCATCCCTCTCTTTTAATTCTCTCTTTTTACTATTAGAAGACACTCTGTTTTCCAGAGTTAAGGTCCAGCAAGCTTGGCATATCAACAATCCCTTGTGGCTACCCTCTGGATGATCTCAGCCACAGCAAAATCTCAGAATTGTTTTACACCAGCACCAGGTAGTCTCTAAGCTCGGACAAACACCTGTAGGAACCATGAAGCCCTGCTATGAATCAAACTTGTTTCATTGTTACTGTTATCCCTCATTGTCAGGGCTACAGCTCACTGCGTAGCCATTGGTATAAGTATTGAAATTTGTCCACACCAAAGCAGGTCTCCTGCTAGGGGTGCCCTGGCATATATGCACATAGTTTCCTTTCTCCAACGGAATAAAGAAAGCTCTTTGCTTATAACTACTGTTAGGTCTTTGGTTTTATTTTGTTTTATTTTATTTTTAGAGTTAACTATGATTTTGACAATCTGTGTGAGCTCTCTGGGTAGGGTTTTGTTTAAGGGTTCACAGCAGCTCTGGCAGCTGCTATGGCTCTTTGGTCATTTGGTCAGGGTCGACATTTCTCATGACGTTAAACTTCCTCTCAGTATCGGGGCTAGAAGGAGGTCAGCCTGGTTGTACTCTCTGGGAGACTCTGGGAATCTCTTCTATCAGCATCTGAGATTTTTTGAGGCAGGTTGTGGGTTATTTTTTGTTGTTGTTGTTTTTCATTGTCTTGGCCCTCGGGAGCAGCACCCCCAGTGAATGTCGGGGGGGGAGGGGAGAATAGCTGGAATAGGCAGGAAGCTGATGTGAGAATGTGGCAATAAGCAAGCCTGTTTCTGTTCATGGGCCTGCTAGTTGGGGAAGTTCCAGCCCCTTGTGATTGATGTGTCATAGCTACAAATAAAACCCATCGAGAGGGAACCAAAGTTTGGGGGTAAGAAAAGAGGTAAGAGACTGTGAATACTTAGCAAGCTTTTGGCTAATTGGATTCATGGAGAGAAGGAAGGACAATCTCTCTCTCCTCTCCTCCAACTCTAGCACATCAGACAGGTTACAAGGCAGGATCTAGGAGCTTAGGACACAGCTGCTCCCACCCTTTCTGAAAAGGTGCTGACTACCTCACAGTCCTCAAAGCTGTCTGGGAGATATGAACACAAGAAAAGCGCATCCCTTCACCCAGACCTGAATTTTCAGGTCAATTAACAGTATAGTACATGGGGAGATTAATTGTCCAATTGCCACTCCCTGGCTTCTTCAGGCACAAAAGCTAAGAAGGGAGTGGGAAGGAATAACCATTGATATAGCACCTTCTATATGCTATGCTGTGTATGTGTAGGTTTACAAATATTATCTCATTTGATCATCACAACAACCTTGGGAGGTAGGTGCTATTATTATCCCCATTTTACAGTTGAAGAAACTGAGGAAGACAGAGGATAAGTGACTTGGCCAGGGTCACACAGCTAGTAAATGTCTTAGGCTGGATTTGAACTCAGGTCTTCCTGACCAGAGTTTTGTCCACCGCATCACCAGCCACCTCCCTGCCTCCCCCTCAGATTAAGGCTTATATTTAAGCAGAGAAAGCACTTAAACACAATCTTATTGGTTCTGGTATTTTGGGTTGGATTTAGGGGCTGTCAGTCAAATTTCAGGCAAATTTGAGCCTGTGCAGTGGTTGGGAGAATGAGTCATAGTGTTTGCCCCACACTGCCCAGGCCTGCTAAGATCAGCACATAGAAAAAGCTTAATAAATACCTGTTGATTGATAACTAAGGGCTTTCCTCCATGAATTCCCAGGTGTGCAAGCCCCTTGTAGACTTTTTAGACTCTAGTGCAGCCTTCTGAGATACTCAAGGGAGGGGAAGAAGGGGACTTGATTAGTGGCGGAGGTGCTGCTTTCCTCAAATTTGCAGTGGCAGTTGTATGGCCTGGCACCCCACTGGCTCATGGCCTCTGATACTTTCTTGAAATGCCCTTTCTCAGCCCTTTGCCCTGCCCGTGTGTTCCAAGGTGTTCTTCCTTCATCGTTCACACCACCTGATTCTACCAGCTGGCCTCCCCATCTCCATCAGAAGGGAAGGACTGCTTCCTGTGGCCCACCCAACTTCTTTCCTTCTTTCCTCCTCTTCATCTGCCTTAGACGAGAAGTCAGCCAAGGGCAGAGGCCATACCTATCTCTGCATGTTTTGGAGCCCAATACCCCACACAGATAGGTACTTTTTAAAAAAGTTGATCTGATTATGTGGACGGAGTGTCACTGTCCCTAAGTCTGACCTAGCGGACATCTTTCTGTGGTTTTGAGAAGAGATTAAGGTAAGAAGTACTCCAGGGTGACTGGTCAATCTCAGCCACTTTCAAGAGGCAGCTGCATCTCCCTAAACAGAAGATTTCCTTTCTATTCCTTGGGCCAAGTAGCCCTGGTTGGCTTACAATGAAACACAGCCCTCTGCCTCTAGTCTTTCCCTTGTCCCCTACTGGATCACACTTGCTACTTTGTTCTGGCACCATGGAATACTGACTGGCTGGAATTCCTGACCTGGAAAAATCCACAGAGGTTACCATATCCATTCCCCTGCCTTTGGGTCAAAACTCTTTCCAAGCTTTATTATAAAAGAATCATTTCCTTTTTAGTGAAACTGAAGAAGAAATATAAGAAATAATAACTAGAAGTTAGCTGAGGAAGTTGAGTGTGTGTGAAAATGGTTGGGGGAGGAGGGAAGCTTCTCAAGTGGATTGAAAGTCTTAAAATTTAGAAGAAAATGAAAGTTAGAGGGGCCAAGGACTCAGAAAATGACATTTAGGAAATGACAGCTTCACACACCACCAACCCATCCCCAGGTGTGTGACTTCCTGATCTTTTGGGGAATAACACTCATCCAGTTGCCACTTCAACATTTATGTGAAACTCATTGACTGTCCCAGATAACCTTTGGGTAATCTGCCCAAGAGCCAGTCCAAGTTAGTACATATAGAAACAGAATTCCTTGCCTCTACAACTTCCTCTGATCATTTGAGGCTGTTGCTTATAGCTTGACTAGTGGAAAGAGTCTTGGATTTCAAGTCAAAAGACCTGGGTTCTGATCCCAGCAACGTCATCTGTGTGACCCTGTGTGAGTAATTTTATGTCACTTGGTTTCAATTTATTAAACATTTACTCTTCTTAACTGTAAAATGAGTGGTTAGATCAGGAGTTCTTAATCTGTTCTGTGATTTTGGCAGTCTGGTGAAGCCTATGGACCCTTTCTCAGAATAATTGTTTTAAATGTATAAAACAGAATACACATAACTAGAAAGAAAACCAAAGGTTAGTGAAAATAAAAATGTAGGTTTTCCCATGAAAGTTTCCAGACCCCCCTCCCCCTAAAATTTATTCATGGATCTTTGGGCTGGGGTGGGGGTCTGTGGACCCCAGGGTACGAATCCCCAGATTAGATGATATCTAAAGCCTCTTCTAGTTCTAAAATCCTGTGATCCTGGGTTGGTGGACATAGGGGTCCCCTCTTACTTATCCTCATCTCTTACCCCTTTGTCTCTTGTCATAATAAGCCATCACAACAGGAACCATATTCTCAGGCAATTTAGCACTAGTGTAATAAAAACAGTTTTTTGCTATAAGTCAATTCAACATATTTATTTAGTGTCTACTGTGTATAGGACATTATATCAGGAGCTGGAGGTGATACAAAGTTTCAGTGAGACAATGTTCCAGCCTTCCATTGAGTTTCCAATCTAATAAATAACCCATGATGTAGAGTTGCATCATACAATATTACATGAAAAAAAGCATGAGAGAAATACGTAACACAGTGTAATGGGTCTGGATTGGGGTGGGGGTGATCATTATTCATTGGGGGAAACCAGGAAAGATTTTATGAATTGAATTTTAAAAGACAATAGTAATTCAACAGTTGAAGATGGGAAAGGTGTGATATTGTAGGCACAAGAAACAGCATGAATAAAAATTTTGAGGCAGGTAAGATCTGGAAGTATTCAGCGGAAAGAGTAGTCAGTCCATTTTGGTTAGAGAGTGGAGCATTTAGAAAAGAGTATGAAATCAGGGTCAAAAGGTAAGGTGGTGCTAGATTGTGTAAGGCCTTGAATGTCAAGCAAAGAAATGTGAACTTCATAGACAATGGAAAGCCATTGAAGTTTTTTGAGATAAAGAATGGCATAACCCTATGTATGGGTAAGGTGAGTCTGTTAGCAATATGAATATTGGAAAAATTGGATTGGAAAAATAAGAGAATGGAGGTGGGAAAACTTGTAAGGAGATTTTTACAATACTGTAAGTGGGTGTTAAGAGGCAATGGCTGTATGACCTTGAGGCTGCTAGGTGGAAAAATAGGTAGGGCTCTGGGCCTAGAGTCAGGAAGACTTGAATTCAAATCTAGCCTCTGTCACTTACTAGCTGTGTGATCCTAGGAAAGTCACTGAGCCTCTGTCTGCCTCAGTTTCTTCATCTATAAAATGGAAATAATAATACCATCTACCTCACATGGTTATTTTGAGGATCAAATGAGATAATGATATTTGGAAAGTGCTTAGCACGGTGCCTGGCCCTTAAACATTTATTTCCTACTTTCCTCTAGAGTAGAGTGGTAGAAGTGGAAAGTAGAGTGATATTGGATGCAAGATGTATTGAATTTGAGTGGTGAGGGAGAAAGAAGAGTCAAAAGTTATGAACTCACTAGATGGAATGAATAGTAGTGTAATCATACATTCAGAGAGGAAAGCAAGTTTTAGGGAAAGGATATTCCTGGTTTCGGATTCATCGAACTTGAGGTATTGGCAGGCCCTCCAGGTGGAGATGTCTTCTGGATAAGCGTGCATGAAGGTCTGTCAGGAAGAGGATGAGGTGCTTGTGAGGAAGATGGAAGGAGCAATTAGGCATATAGAAGAGATGTAAGATTGTAGAGTCTCTGAGGCCAAGCCAGGGGAAAGTATTTGGTGGGAGAGGAAAATCAGTATTTCAAAATGCTGCAAAAAGTTCAGTGAGGTAGAAGATGGGAGGCCCTGGATTTGGTTATCAACTGTTTACTGGTGACCTTTGAGAGAGCAATTGTTTAGAAAACAGTTATCTTTACTCACATCCTCTTCTGTCTCACTCAACCCCCACTCAACCCCTTGTAATTTGACCTCTGACCACAGCACTATGGAAAATGTTTTCTAGATGATCATGTCTTAACTGCTAAATCCAATGGTCATTTCTCAGGCTTCAGCCTCTGTGACCTAATTCTCTGCCACTTTTCTACTTTCTGGAGTTGATTATTTCCTATTTATCTTGTATGTAGCTTGTTTGCTACATTCAAAGGAGAGGGACTATTTTTTCCATTCTTTTTTTCCCTCAGAGCTTAGCACAGTGCCTGGCAAATAGTAGGTACTT